CTACGCAACCCAAGGTCAAACTGATGTGATCAGTAAATACATCTTTTTAAACGCCACAACTTTTATCTGAAACATTTTTTTCTAAAATGCTTAGTTTTCGAGATATTTCACCGGTCCGGGACTTTTTGAACACCCTGTATATGTAGTTATATAATAAAACACGTGTTTCAAATTCAAATATTCGGATTCTCATGGAATATAGCTCTCTTAATCGATATAACATCTCCGTACAAATGTATTCGTGAGGCTATGGTCTTTAAAATGAATATGTCATGAATGTAAAAAGTGACGCTCGTAGCTGCCGCGTCACCAGCTGATGCGCTCGCAGACGGAAAGGCCGAATCGAAAAACAGTGAGATGAGAATTATTGATTGATTGACGTGATCGATTGCTGAACGTTGATTTAACTCACGACAGCAATTGTATGCTTCAATAGGTACTGTACAGTACACGGTCGTACTTCTTGCGGCACAACTCGATGTGATCGGATCGATTTCGGCGGGTGCAGTTGCACCAGCTGTGAAAACTATCAAGAAAACCATCATAGTTCCCGCACCCCCGCCATTCATTACCGTGCAATGTGCGGCTCAAGCCAACGCTAATACCAATGTAATTGCAACAGTTAATGAGTGGTTGTATTCTTTTCTAAAATTCTACTTTAAATAGCAGAATGAGAGTAGTCAACTCTTTCCCTTCCTTAGAACTCAAGTGAATTTTCTTTCATATGTATGAAAAAATTTCTACATTCTATATCACTGAATAAGTATTTTCATTTGAAACTAAATAGTAAATTTAATATATTCAAAATAATTTGGATCTAAGTAATATATTCTCCTATATATTATATATTATATCTATATTATATATTATTCTACTATATATATATATATATATATATATATATATATATATATATATATATATATATATATATACAAACAAATTTACTTTAACAAAGAATTCTGAAAATAAGAACTCTATTGGTAAAGCATTACTCTAAGTTTGAGTAAAACAATAACTTTTGCTGATTTCAAGCGGCAATATTTTCGCTTTGAGTAAATTTTCGTTTATTTTGAGTGAAATTTCACTCCAAAATATTTGAAGAATACTTTTTAAATATCTGAAGTGCACTTTTACGTGAAAAATAAAATAACGTGAACAGAAACGCAGAGACATTTGCTTTGCATGAAAATTCGATTACTTAGTTCCACCTCTGTTACGCCTAACAAATATCGCTAATTCGTATAAAAAAGCAATTGTGATAATTGTTAATGAGTCCAATCTTTTTCAGCAGATCCCAATCTCTACCCTGACAGCTGTAAATCAACTGTTGAACAACGTCGGCTAAAACACGAAAACACCACTAAACAATGAAATCACAGGGTATAATATCCTCGATGGCAAATCAATCTATACATCTTATTACTTTCTCTTTTTTTTTAAAATCTCAAATATATTTAACGAATATGTTCGTCCCTCATTCGGCCACTTTCGGCAAATATTTATTCGCAGTTTGGCCTGCTCACGAATGTCGGACACGCACAATGTCCGATCTTACGATTCCTCATACGTGATTAGATTGCCAGTTCTTTCACGCGCAACAGTATTTCTTTGTCTTAGGCATGTTCAAGGAGAATATGTTAATAAAGCGTTATATAAAATATCTTTTAGATATTATTTCTTTTATAATACATATATATATATATATATATATATATATATATATATATATATATATATATATATGTATTATAAAAGA